AGAGAGTGAGAGAGAGTGAGACAAACACAGAGATAGATGCAGAAAGAGAGACAGACAGACAGACAGACAAAGAGAGAGAGAGAGAGAGAGAGAGAGATTGTGTTAAGAAAGAAGGGAGGAAGCCAGAAGTAGTTCAAGACACCAGGGGATCCAGCTCCCTTACACACCTTTGAAGAAATGTAAAGGCATCCACCAAAGATGATCATTTTATATGTAGAAGAAACACACCTACATTTATACACATGTACACATGGTCTCATATGAACATCATTCTATTGCACCAGATACACGTCTATCCCTTTTCCTTAACCACTCACTCTCTTATTAGCATTCCATACACACTCCCAGACTTAGAGATACATGCCTGTGGCACATATATACACACACACATAACCCCCGAAGGGACATGACATAACTAAATGGCCAGCAAAATGTAGACAGAGGTGCCCAAGGTGAAAGACAGTAAAGCACCCAATAAGCTGGTCACCACTTTGAGGTGCCCACGTGGAAAGTTAGAGTCCTAGATATGTAAGAGGCGGGGTGGGGCTATTGCTCACGGCTATTCCTTTCTGTTGCCCCCTACTCTCCCCAGAATAGCTGTATATCTCCCCCTCCCACACCCATACACCCTTTTCCAAATAAACACTCTTGCTTTCTTGGAAACTCTGCTCTTGAAAACAGGCATGGTGGCAGCAGGCCTGCAATCCCAGCCCTTGGGAGGATCAGCACAAATTTGAGGACAGTCTGGGCTCCATAGTTTGTTCAGTGACAGCCTGAACTATACAGGGAGGCCTTGTCTGCAAGAAACAAACAAACAAAGAAACAAATAAGAAAAATAAAACCCTCCATCTCTTTCATTCATTACTGAAACCCTGAGTTTATGATGCCGGAAACTGCGTGTGTCGCTGGGCGCATGGTGCTCACATCCCAGCCGGCCACAACGGCAAGAGCAGTAACCTCTGCAGCACGTTGCTGGAGTGGTTCCACTTTCTCCAACTGAACTTGGCCCTGTCAGCATTGCAGTGGTTTCCTGTGTCTTCCACGACAGATATTTGAAGTGTCCTCTGGTGCTCAACCGCGGTTTTCCACACACATTGCTTTAGTTCCAAAGAGCACACAGATCCTAGGGTTGTAAATTGGCGAATGACTTGGAGAGTATTTTGGGCACCACCTTTAGTTGTTAAACCTGCAGGATCAGATGGCCAGGATGGCAAAGGCCTGGGTTCCTACTGTAGGAGATGGGAAGACCAAAGGTTGAAGCTTAGCTTGGGCCATTTCCTGACCTGGTGAGACCCTGTGTGAACTGATGAAATTTGCCAAGGCCTGGGGGGTGGGGGGTGGCCGGGAATCTAGTTCAATGGCATAAGTGCCTGCCTGGCAAGCAGGAGGACCTGCTTGCCATGTCCAGAACGAAAGCAAGAAATCCTCAGGATAAGAATGGTAATACTAATGAAGTAAATCCTAGAAAGCATGGGGAGGTAGCTCAGTGTGAAGGTGTTGCCTTCCTTTGCTAGTGTTGGCGCACGTGAAGCAGACAACATCCAAGGGTGCGGCGACTCACTTCTTCACTGTAACTCTTAGTCAAAACCCTTAGGCCCACCAGAAGTAGGTAAGCCTGAGAAGAATATCCCAAAGCATCATGCCGGTTGTAGTGCAAGCGTCCCCACCCAGGAAGAGAAATTCTAGCCAAGGGTAAGGAATGGAAGAGGCTCGGGAAAGACCCCTGAGAGCAAGAATGGGTGCACTTTGGTTGGTTCGGCTAGGGGCCAGGGGAGGGCGCAGATGCCGAGAGGGGGGCCTGTTGCCCCCAATCCCCCAGGTCAGGAGGCAGGAAATGTCAGCAAGGGCGGTCCCACCTACCTCACAGTCTCCGTGTAAGTCACTTAACCCAGCAGGCTGGATGCTGGCGCAAAGCCAGTCCCTTGTATCGTGAGGTTAGTCCCTCGGAGCTCAGAGCTAGGACTGGGAGGGGGAAACCTCGGAGCGGGCACCCCTGGGGCCAAAGAGGAAGAACCTGTGGGGAGATTGGGTGAACTAGACTCCCGGGCAGACAGGACAGCAAGGACAGACCCACGCACGGACGTAAAGGAGCCAGTGGGCAATGGCCCTCAGCCAGCATCCCACAGCCCACTGCCCAGGGTCAGGGCGAGCACAGTCAGTGTGGGCGTCAGGATGTGGTGGGCACGGGCTTCCAGTGGTGCCTGGGTGGGCTCTGCACTTAGAAGCCTTCCATCCTGTGTCCCGGCGACACAGAACGGGTGCACGAGGCCTAGGAAGTGGCACCTAGATGGGACTGTTACAGGTTTTCCCTTCATTTGCCATACCAAGCATCTCCCCAGCCCTAGCCCCACCGAACAACCAGCTTGGTTGGAGCTTGCTAGCCAGGCTGGCCAGGCTGTGCTGCTGGGCTCCCCTTCAGTCTAGTCACAGTAGCTGTCCTTTGTCTGCAGCTGCTGCCTAAAGCCAACTGCAGAGCTCAGCCCACGGGCCACCCACCCTTGATGTTCATTGAAGCCCACCTGCAGCCCATCACACCAGCCCGGAGCGATGTGGGGAGACTCTCCCTCCCCTCTCCCTCCCGGGTCCTCTCCTTCTCCCCTCCCCCCCCGCCCCCCCCCACCCCCCCGCGCTTCACCTCCACTCCACTCACCAACCTTGCCCAGCGGAGCTCCCCCATCGTCACAGGCATCCCGGGCTTGCCACCGCCTGGGCAGCGTTCCAGAAGGCGGTGGGTGAAGGTGTGGGTTCTCCCTGCGTGATAAAAGTCTCGGCCCTAGTAGAGAAGAGAGCAGAGTGAGCGGGGAATCCCCGAGAGCGGTGGACTCTACGCGCGGGGGCGTGGGGGTGGGGGGAGCAAGCCCTGCGAGATCGAAGACCGTCTGGGGAAAGGGTGTGTCTGGCGGAGCAAGGTCTGGAACTTTGGGGCCAGGTCGCAGAAGGCTGCTCCTCAGTCAGACAGTTGTTCTGTGGTGCCCCGCCGCCCCGTGGAGCACCCGCGGCTTGTGCGTGATCTGCGTTAGGAGCCCATGTGGCGCGAGTCTCCCTCATCCCCGCCCCGCCCCCCCCCCCACGGTAGGCTCCAGGCGTCCAGGGCGGAGGTGTGGGTTGGCGTGGGCGTCCGAAGGGGTCAAGGGCGGGCTAGAGACTGGCAGGAGGATGCTCCAGCAGGAAGGAGGGTCGTGGCTGTGAATGTGGGGGTGAGAGGCGGCGGGGAGCGGGAAGGATCCGGACCCCAGGAGCCAGAGGGCGTGCTCTGAGAAGGACACAAAATCGGCATTGCCAGCTAGCGGGCCGGGCTGGGGGTGGGGATGGGGGCCTGGTGGCAAGGGGCTGGAAGCGGGCTGTGCTCCGGGAGACCCTCTGACCGGAGCTGGGGGGGAGGGGGGGGACAGGGTGGCTCCCTCTTCCAGGTCGAAGGACTGACCAGTTCCTGTGGCAGGGAGGTGGCAAGTCCTAGAGGGGACGGTGGGACAGCGTGCGTGCGTGCGAGACAGGCTAGAGAAGGTGCCAAAGGGCTGAGGGCAGGCCGTCGGGCGAGAGGCTGAACTCAGCCCTGGCGGGCTCTCGCGTGTCCGCGCAGTGAGGCGCGTCAGGGGTGTGGTTGGGCTCCAGCAGAAAAGAGGCCCAGGAGACAGCAGCAAGAGCAGAATCTCTGTGCAGAGGTGCTGAAGTTGGCCCTGGACGTGTCCTCGGTGTTTGTGTGTGTGCGTGTGTGCGTGTGTGTATGTGTGTGTGTGTGTGTTTGCTCGCGCTCGTGCGTGTGCGTGGGCGTAGCGGGTCAGTCAATCGGTGGGGGACTGGAGGTGGTTGCTGACAAATGGGGAGGAACAGGGTGGCTGAGGGAGTAAAGAGCGAGGGTGCGGTTGGAAGTGCTGTGCGTGGCTCCCGAGTGCGTGTGCGCTTCCACGAGAGCGTGAGGTTGCTGTGTGAGGGGAGCAGACGCCCGCGCGGGAAGCCCGTGTGCAGCGGCAAGGGCCTGAGGCGGGCGTGAGGCAAGGCGAAGAGGTGGGGCGAGGGGCAGGGCGCGGGCGGCATTTTCCCGTGGGTGGGCGTGGCAGCGAAGTGCGTGGCAGGCGACCCGATGTGGAAGGGTAAGAGGGTCAGAGGCGAGGAAGAAGAGGGCAAGTGTGGTGGGGCAGGCAGACGGTTGAGGAGAGAGCAGCAGGTGCCTAAGGGGTGCAAGGAGGTGGGCAGGGTCCTGGGAGGAGGCCTGTGGAGCAGAGCGGGGTGAGGGCCGCGCGCCCTCCGGAGAGCTGAGTGGAGGCTGAGGCTGAGCTGGTGCAGGCTTGCCTGGGGCGAGAGCAAGGAGGAGGAAGGGCGGGCGGCTTGGTGTTGAGGTGAGGAGGATCAAAAGGCGAGCTTGGAAGTGCATGGGCCGGGAATCGAACCCGGGCCTCCCGCGTGGCAGGCGAGAATTCTACCACTGAACCACCCATGCAGCGACGGCGCTGCCCCCTAGCCAGTGCCTCCCTGGCTTGAGCAGCAGGCAGGGGAGCCTGCTGAGGGCGCGTCCTGGGCACCTGGGCTGCTCTGGTTTCTCCAGGGAGCAAGGCACCACGGGGCCAGGGAGTACCGCGGTGAGCAGAAGGAGGGGTTGCAGCGCTTCAACAGCCCTCCTCCTTGTCGTCCTCCCCCTGCTTCTTTGTCGTCTTCCTTTTCCTCCCCCTCCCCCGCCTTTTCCTCTTCCTCCTTCCCCTTCTAATCCTGCTCCTCCTCCTTCCCCTCCTCCTTCCCCTCCTCCTTCCCTCCTCCTCCTCCTCCTCCTCCTCCTCCTCTTCCTCCTTCCCCTCCTCCTCCTCCTCTTCCTCCTTCCCCTCCTCCTCCTCCTCCTCCTCCTCGTCCTCCTCCTCCTCCTCCTCCTATGCCTCTTCCTCTTCCTCCTCCTCCTCTTCCTCCTCCTCCCCCCCCTTCTCCTCCTCCTCTGAGACCGGCCCTCCTGGAGAGGCAGGGAGTGTGGAGAGGCAGGACGCGTCCCGGGCTGCCCACGCCGCCGGCACGGACTGCGGACCCAGCGTGGCCCAAGGAAGGCAGGAGCTGGACCAGACGAGGCCCCCGCAGGAGACGCGAGCGGGACGGGGCACCCGAGGCACCGGTGGCTGAGAGGCCGCCTTGTCTTCTGCCACACCCCCCCGCCCCATACCCCGGCCACTATTGAGTCCACAGCGGGCCCAGCAAGGGAGGGGCACGGGTGCGGTTGGCACGGCCCGGGCAGCGGCGTCCGAGTGGGCACGTGACTGCTGCGATTGGGGGTGGCGGTGGGCGTGTAGGGTGGCAGTGGCTCTTGGAAGGTAGGGACCCCCTCGGGGCCGGGGGTGGGGGTCTTTCCTCGCGGGCGTGCACGGGGTTGCACAGGACTGGGCTGGATAGTGCTGGGCTCCACTGGGTTGGACGGGCTAATGCTGGGCCGGTTTGGAGGGACCAGGCTGAATTGGACAGGGCACAGCTGGGCCCGCCTGGCTGGCTCTTCTTGGCCGGGCTCGGCCCGGCCTGGCCTTCCATGCTGCGTGGCACGGGGTGGGCAGGAAAAAGCATTCAGGGGAAGCCGGGCAGGGCAGCAGAGTCCGGCCCGATGGGGGGCCGGTGTCCTGGGGCAAGGTGTGGAGAGAATGGGAGGCGCAGTCGGGGGCCGAGGGAGGCCCCAAGGGTGGGGGCGTGGCTTGGAGGGGGCAGGGTGGCGGTGCGGGGCTGTGCTATAGGAGCGACTCCAGCAGCCTGTGGCCGCCGGACAGAGGTTGCGCGCCTGTGGTGAGAGATGTGGGCAGTGTGGGCCCCTGTGGGCATCGGGTGGAGGCGGGCCCCCCAGGAAGTGGGCGCGCAGAGAAGGGAAGCAGGTGGTTGGGCGAGCTCCTGAAGCGTCGGGCCATGCCTTGGTCCCTCCTTGTGCAGGCGAGGTCAGAGGGGCGTCCCGGGAATGTGCGTGTGCCAAGGCCGCGGGGCAGAGGAAGGAAGACGCGGGCGCGTGAAGCTGTGTGTGAAGGCCGAGGGTGGGCGTGAAAGAGAGAGGGAGGGAGGGTGCGTGCGTGTGTGCGTGCAGGGTCCCTTGGAGTGATGGCGGAGGGCCAGACGCCCAGGCGGGAGGACATGGGCGAGAGGGGCGGTGTCGGGGGTCAGGCAAAAGGGAAGGCTGTCAGGAGTGGGATTCGAACCCACGCCTCCAGGGGAGACTGCGACCTGAACGCAGCGCCTTAGACCGCTCGGCCATCCTGACGGCAGGGCTGGGCGCGTGGACGCTGACCTGGCTGGGATCCCAAGGCCTGGGTGCAGCCGGCCTGCGGGTGAGTGGGTGCGCATCGGGGGCCTAGCCGGGGCTGGGACTAGGGTCAGGCTGAGGGTCAGGCCCAGGGCCAGGGCTAGAAGCCGCGCTCCTCGATGGCGCTCGCTGCGCCAGGCCGCGGCTCCTGGCCTGCTCCCTCAGCAGCCCCGCCGCGTCCGTCCGTCCGCTCGGTCCGCCCTTCTGTCCTCTGTCCCGGGGCCCGGGCTCCCAGGAGCGCAAACGGTCCTGCCCGCCTGGTGCTCCCTGCTGGATGGCGGCGCGCTGAGATCCCGGCAGTGCGTGCCACGGTGGCTCCACAGTCGGTCCGACGGCTGCGTGGGCAGGCAGCGGGCGGGGGCGCCGGACCGGCTGGAGTTGGGCACGTCGGGTGGAGGGGGCCTGCGCTACGTGTGGGCGGCGAGGCGGCGGGGCGGCGGTTAGGGGTGGCGTGGAGCTGCAGCAGGAGCCCGCAGGCTTGCCGGGATGCGGAGTCAGGGGTCCAGGCTGGACGTGGGACAGGCGGCGGCGGCGGCCTGGGCGCAGAGCGGCGTCGTCCTCGTTAGTATAGTGGTGAGTATCCCCGCCTGTCACGCGGGAGACCGGGGTTCGATTCCCCGACGGGGAGGCAGCTCAACCTTTTGCCCGCCCGCGGCGATCGCTGCGCCAGGCCCAAGGGCCCCTTCCACTTGCCTGCCCGCCACCCCCGAGCCCCCGGCCCTCTCGCCTGCCTCCGCGGCTTGGCGGCCGGCCGCCTGCAAGGCCAGGGAGCAGGGTCTCCTGTGAGCACGCGCCGGCCCAGGCAGAGCAGGCAGAGCGCCCACGGAGCTCAGCGAGCGGAGCACCGCGGCTGCCCAGACAAGTATCCGGGCGGGCGGGCGGCGCGTCGGTCGGCGGGGGCCAGGACAGGACGGGCGCCGGCTGGGCGCCCCGGTGCGGGAGCGCCAGGCGTCGGGCAGGGCAGCGGCGGAGCCTGGCGTGGGTCGCTCGGGGCGCCGCGCCGGGGGCCTGCCGGGCGTGTGGCGTTGGTGGTATAGTGGTGAGCATAGCTGCCTTCCAAGCAGTTGACCCGGGTTCGATTCCCGGCCAACGCAGCAGCAGGGCCTCCTTTTGCCTGGGGCTGGGGCTGGGGCTGGGGCTGGGGCTGGGGCTGGGGCTGGGGCTGGGGCTGGCAAGCCGCGTGTGCTGGTATGTGGGAGCTCGGGCCTAGGGCCAGTAGATGCCCGGCCGAAGGCGGAGCCCGACCTTTTGAGGGCAGGGCGAGCCAGCTCAGGGACAGCGGCCGCCAGGGCGCGAGGCTTGCCAGGCGCGGCGGGAGGGAGGCGGGTTCCACGTCGCCTTTGCAAGGCAGGCCGGGCGGGGCCCAGGCGCCAGGGCCCCAATTGCACAGGAGGCGCTGGCTGCAGGCGCACGGGGCGCACGCCGGGACGAGCGACCGACGCTCCCTGGTGGTCTAGTGGTTAGGATTCGGCGCTCTCACCGCCGCGGCCCGGGTTCGATTCCCGGTCAGGGAAGCCCTTCTTTTGGTTCTCCCACTTCTGCCCTCACCACTCTTCTTCCCAACTAGACTCCCTTTCCTTCCCCTTGCCTTTCCCCTTGCCCTTCCCCTTCCCCTTCCCCTTCCCCTCCCTCTTCCCCTTCCCCTTCCCTTCCCTGGGCCTGCCGCTGCCCCTGCCCCTACCCCTGCCCCTGCCCCTGCCCCTTCCCCTTCGCCACCCCTTCCAGTTCACCTCCTCCCTCTCTTCCTCCTCCTCCTCCTCCCCCTCCAGTCCCCCTGCCCTCCCCGTGGTTTTGGCAGGACACCCCAGCCTCCTGGCCTGCCACCTCTTCTTGCACGCCCCCTGCTTACCCGCGCGCCGCACACGGTGCCAACGCACATCTCCAGCCGCCCAACACGCCTGCGCCCTGGCGCGCCTCTGGGCCACAGGCCTGCCCGGGGACTCGCTCAGGGAACACCTGCACCTGGCCACCTGCTCCCAGTGCCGCAAGCAACAAGCCCTGTCCATCTCAGCGGCTTGGCTTCCGCTGTCAGCCCCTGACACACAGCCTTCTCTCGCCTCTCCCCATGCCTCAGCCCCCCACCCACCCACCCACCCCATGCACCCGGGACACCTGCTGCTGACCCGACCCGACCCGACCCGACCCGACCCGACCCGACCTGCTCCGACCCTTGACCCTTCGGCATGGAACAACGCTCTTGGTGCACTCTTGTCCTACAGTCATACTCTTGCAGGGTTGACATCTGGAGCATTCATTCTATGACCTTACCCATCCTTTGGAATACACTGGAGACTGTTTCCTGGGTATCTCCCGGTTCAGAGGACAAAGTCGCCTCATTTGTCTTCTCCGCCGGTTTCTCATTTTCCTTCGCTTATTGCTTCCTTTCTCTTCGGAATTCATCTCTGGGCCCGTTTTCAAGAAGACAGGGGAACTCTTTCTCTCCACCCGTAGGTAAAGCATAACCAAAGATGAACGCGCTTTCCCTGGCTTGTGTCTGCCTGACATGTTCTGCTGCTGCGATCAGGAGCTTAAGCCACCCTCTTGGAGAGGGATTGTTGAGGTCGCGGAGCCCTGAGACCCCGGGGAGGAAAACGCGTCTTCAATCAGAGGCACCAGCACTTCCCAAGGAAAGCTTTAGAGGACACTCAAGAATGGCGGGTGCAGGCCCTCACAGAAGCCAGGGCCGTTGTCCCCTGCAACTGGAAATCCTTGTGTGTTTTTGGTGGTGGGAATCTTGGCATTGGATCACCCGTTCTCTTCCACTGAGTCTAGTGGGTGGGCAAGTGGCAAGTGGAAAGGGAATGGTGCAGACCACGCTTAGTGCCATGTGGTGCGAGACAAGAAGGAGAAACAGAACACAAAGCCAGTCCCGTCCCCCCCCCCCGCCCGCCAAATGAAAATCCAACACGTACACGCCAAAGGAAAGCTGGGCTTTCTGCCTGGAATTGCTTTCTTGTACCTTCCTGTGCCTGGGGCTTGGGTTGCTGGAGTCTCCTTGTACAGGTGCTTTCTAGGTTCTTTCTCTCCTGTACAAGGAATTGGTGGAGCAAAGTGCAACACGGAGCCAGGCTCATCGTGCACCAAAGCTATGAAAGCAGTCCTTCGTGCTCAGGCTCTCTCAGTGCTCGGCTCTCCCCCTACACAGCATCCTTCTTCCTCGACTTTCCTTTGGCCCATACCTGCTCTCCACAGCATGCTTCCATTCTACCTCGCCTCAAAACAAAACTCGTTTTGGAAGGGAAGTGAAACAGGCTCTGTAGAGTGCAGGTGGCCAGGTAAGGATAAGGGGAACAAAACGAACCCAAGAAAACAAGAAAAAAGCAAACGAACAAAGATGCTGCAGAGCACAGGCTGGGCCACTGGCAGAGTTAACAGTACAAATCCGGCTTGGCTGTGCCTGGCTTTTGGATCTCACACTCCTCAGGATGAAGTGAGGTCTAGGCCAACTTATCCTATGACAGCACTAAGAGTTCTAGGGAAAATCACCCAAATGGACAGGCTGCTTGTATCTAGGTGGAACTTGTTCTGCACATGTGTGCTGGAATTGTGTGACTGACAGGTGATGTCCCCTTGCCCAGCCAGTTTGCCGTGCTCTAATCTCCTGCCTCATTGCCTCAGGTCCACTTGCAATCAATTAGTTGGAAAAGAGGGCACTAGAGGCTGAGATGATGGTAGAGAGCAGCTCGTTTTGAGGTGCAAATGTGGCCAGAGGCAGCTTCTAGGTAGGAAACAAGAAAGGCTTTATCACAATGGAATGGGGAAACTTACTTCAGGCTGCTTGTGCCACAACAGGTAGATGCTACCTATAGAGCAGTTAGACAAAGGGAGGCACCGAGTAACTCCATCGGCAAAGGAAACTGTTTGTGCCCGTGTGTGTCTGTGTCTCTCTGTGTGCCAGAGGGAGATAGAGATAGAGATAAAGAAAGAGAGTGAGAGAGAGTGAGACAAACACAGAGATAGATGCAGAAAGAGAGACAGACAGACAGACAGACAAAGAGAGAGAGAGAGAGAGAGATAGAGAGAGAGAGAGAGAGAGAGAGAGATTGTGTTAAGAAAGAAGGGAGGAAGCCAGAAGTAGTTCAAGACACCAGGGGATCCAGCTCCCTTACACACCTTTGAAGAAATGTAAAGGGCATCCACCAAAAGATGATCATTTTATATGTAGAAGAAACACACCTACATTTATACACATGTACACATGGTCTCATATGAACATCATTCTATTGCACCAGATACACGTCTATCCCTTTTCCTTAACCACTCACTCTCTTATTAGCATTCCATACACACTCCCAGACTTAGAGATACATGCCTGTGCACATATATACACACACACATAACCCCCGAAGGGACATGACATAACTAAATGGCCAGCAAAATGTAGACAGAGGTGCCCAAGGTGAAAGACAGTAAAGCACCCAATAAGCTGGTCACCACTTTGAGGTGCCCACGTGGAAAGTTAGAGTCCTAGATATGTAAGAGGCGGGGTGGGCTATTGCTCACGGCTATTCCTTTCTGTTGCCCCCTACTCTCCCAGAATAGCTGTATATCTCCCCCCTCCCACACCCATACACCCTTTTCCAAATAAACACTCTTGCTTTCTTGGAAACTCTGCTCTTGAAAACAGGCATGGTGGCAGCAGGCCTGCAATCCCAGCCCTTGGGAGGATCAGCACAAATTTGAGGACAGTCTGGGCTCCATAGTTTGTTCAGTGACAGCCTGAACTATACAGGGAGGCCTTGTCTGCAAGAAACAAACAAACAAAGAAACAAATAAGAAAAATAAAACCCTCCATCTCTTTCATTCATTACTGAAACCCTGAGTTTATGATGCCGGAAACTGCGTGTGTCGCTGGGCGCATGGTGCTCACATCCCAGCCGGCCACAACGGCAAGAGCAGTAACCTCTGCAGCACGTTGCTGGAGTGGTTCCACTTTCTCCAACTGAACTTGGCCCTGTCAGCATTGCCAGTGGTTTCCTGTGTCTTCCACGACAGATATTTGAAGTGTCCTCTGGTGCTCAACCGCGGTTTTCCACACACATTGCTTTAGTTCCAAAGAGCACACAGATCCTAGGGTTGTAAATTGGCGAATGACTTGGAGAGTATTTTGGGCACCACCTTTAGTTGTTAAACCTGCAGGATCAGATGGCCAGGATGGCAAAGGCCTGGGTTCCTACTGTAGGAGATGGGAAGACCAAAGGTTGAAGCTTAGCTTGGGCCATTTCCTGACCTGGTGAGACCCTGTGTGGAACTGATGAAATTTGCCAAGGCCTGGGGGGTGGGGGGGTGGCCGGGAATCTAGTTCAATGGCATAAGTGCCTGCCTGGCAAGCAGGAGGACCTGCTTGCCATGTCCAGAACGAAAGCAAGAAATCCTCAGGATAAGAATGGTAATACTAATGAAGTAAATCCTAGAAAGCATGGGGAGGTAGCTCAGTGTGAAGGTGTTGCCTTCCTTTGCTAGTGTTGGCGCACGTGAAGCAGACAACATCCAAGGGTGCGGCGACTCACTTCTTCACTGTAACTCTTAGTCAAAACCCTTAGGCCCACCAGAAGTAGGTAAGCCTGAGAAGAATATCCCAAAGCATCATGCCGGTTGTAGTGCAAGCGTCCCCACCCAGGAAGAGAAATTCTAGCCAAGGGTAAGGAATGGAAGAGGCTCGGGAAAGACCCCTGAGAGCAAGAATGGGTGCACTTTGGTTGGTTCGGCTAGGGGCCAGGGGAGGGCGCAGATGCCGAGAGGGGGGCCTGTTGCCCCCAACCCCCCAGGTCAGGAGGCAGGAAATGTCAGCAAGGGCGGTCCCACCTATCTCACAGTCTCCGTGTAAGTCACTTAACCCAGCAGGCTGGATGCTGGCGCAAAGCCAGTCCCTTGTATCGTGAGGTTAGTCCCTCGGAGCTCGGAGCTAGGACTGGGAGGGGGAAACCTCGGAGCGGGCACCCCTGGGGCCAAAGAGGAAGAACCTGTGGGGAGATTGGGTGAACTAGACTCCCGGGCAGACAGGACAGCAAGGACAGACCCACGCACGGACGTAAAGGAGCCAGTGGGCAATGGCCCTCAGCCAGCATCCCACAGCCCACTGCCCAGGGTCAGGGCGAGCACAGTCAGTGTGGGCGTCAGGATGTGGTGGGCACGGGCTTCCAGTGGTGCCTGGGTGGGCTCTGCACTTAGAAGCCTTCCATCCTGTGTCCCGGCGACACAGAACGGGTGCACGAGGCCTAGGAAGTGGCACCTAGATGGGACTGTTACAGGTTTTCCCTTCATTTGCCATACCAAGCATCTCCCCAGCCCTAGCCCCACCGAACAACCAGCTTGGTTGGAGCTTGCTAGCCAGGCTGGCCAGGCTGTGCTGCTGGGCTCCCCTTCAGTCTAGTCACAGTAGCTGTCCTTTGTCTGCAGCTGCTGCCTAAAGCCAACTGCAGAGCTCAGCCCACGGGCCACCCACCCTTGATGTTCATTGAAGCCCACCTGCAGCCCATCACACCAGCCCGGAGCGATGTGGGGAGACTCTCCCTCCCCTCTCCTCCCGGGTGCTCTCCTTCCCCCCCCCCCCCCCCCCGCGCTTCACCTCCACTCCACTCTCCAACCTTGCCCAGCGGAGCTCCTCCATCGTCACAGGCATCCCGGGCTTGCCACCGCCTGGGCAGCGTTCCAGAAGGCGGTGGGTGAAGGTGTGGGTTCTCCTGCGTGATAAAAGTCTCGGCCCCTAGTAGAGAAGAGAGCAGAGTGAGCGGGGAATCCCCGAGAGCGGTGGACTCTACGCGCGGGGGCGTGGGGGTGGGGGGAGCAAGCCCTGCGAGATCGAAGACCCTCTGGGGAAAGGGTGTGTCTGGGGGAGCACGGTCTGGAACTTTGGGGCCAGGTCGCAGAAGGCTGCTCCTCAGTCAGACAGTTGTTCTGTGGTGCCCCGCCGCCCCGTGGAGCACCCGCGGCTTGTGCGTGATCTGCGTTAGGAGCCCATGTGGCGCGAGTCTCCCTCATCCCCGCCCCGCCCCCCCCCACGGTAGGCTCCAGGCGTCCAGGGCGGAGGTGTGGGTTGGCGTGGGCGTCCGAAGGGGTCAAGGGCGGGCTAGAGACTGGCAGGAGGATGCTCCAGCAGGAAGGAGGGTCGTGGCTGTGAATGTGGGGGTGAGAGGCGGCGGGGAGCGGGAAGGATCCGGACCCCAGGAGCCAGAGGGCGTGCTCTGAGAAGGACACAAAATCGGCATTGCCAGCTAGCGGGCCGGGCTGGGGGTGGGGATGGGGGCCTGGTGGCAAGGGGCTGGAAGCGGGCTGTGCTCCGGGAGAGCCTCTGACCGGAGCTGGGGGGGGGGGGGGGACAGGGTGGCTCCCTCTTCCAGGTCGAAGGACTGACCAGTTCCTGTGGCAGGGAGGTGGCAAGTCCTAGAGGGGACGGTGGGACAGCGTGCGTGCGTGCGAGACAGGCTAGAGAAGGTGCCAAAGGGCTGAGGGCAGGCCGTCGGGCGAGAGGCTGAACTCAGCCCTGGCGGGCTCTCGCGTGTCCGCGCAGTGAGGCGCGTCAGGGGTGTGGTTGGGCTCCAGCAGAAAAGAGGCCCAGGAGACAGCAGCAAGAGCAGAATCTCTGTGCAGAGGTGCTGAAGTTGGCCCTGGACGTGTCCTCGGTGTTTGTGTGTGTGCGTGTGTGCGTGTGTGTATGTGTGTGTGTGTGTGTTTGCTCGCGCTCGTGCGTGTGCGTGGGCGTAGCGGGTCAGTCAATCGGTGGGGGACTGGAGGTGGTTGCTGACAAATGGGGAGGAACAGGGTGGCTGAGGGAGTAAAGAGCGAGGGTGCGGTTGGAAGTGCTGTGCGTGGCTCCCGAGTGCGTGTGCGCTTCCACGAGAGCGTGAGGTTGCTGTGTGAGGGGAGCAGACGCCCGCGCGGGAAGCCCGTGTGCAGCGGCAAGGGCCTGAGGCGGGCGTGAGGCAAGGCGAAGAGGTGGGGCGAGGGGCAGGGCGCGGGCGGCATTTTCCCGTGGGTGGGCGTGGCAGCGAAGTGCGTGGCAGGCGACCCGATGTGGAAGGGTAAGAGGGTCAGAGGCGAGGAAGAAGAGGGCAAGTGTGGTGGGGCAGGCAGGCGGTTGAGGAGAGAGCAGCAGGTGCCTAAGGGGTGCAAGGAGGTGGGCAGGGTCCTGGGAGGAGGCCTGTGGAGCAGAGCGGGGTGAGGGCCGCGCGCCCTCCGGAGAGCTGAGTGGAGGCTGAGGCTGAGCTGGTGCAGGCTTGCCTGGGGCGAGAGCAAGGAGGAGGAAGGGCGGGCGGCTTGGTGTTGAGGTGAGGAGGATCAAAAGGCGAGCTTGGAAGTGCATGGGCCGGGAATCGAACCCGGGCCTCCCGCGTGGCAGGCGAGAATTCTACCACTGAACCACCCATGCAGCGACGGCGCTGCCCCCTAGCCAGTGCCTCCCTGGCTTGAGCAGCAGGCAGGGGAGCCTGCTGAGGGCGCGTCCTGGGCACCTGGGCTGCTCTGGTTTCTCCAGGGAGCAAGGCACCACGGGGCCAGGGAGTACCGCGGTGAGCAGAAGGAGGGGTTGCAGCGCTTCAACAGCCCTCCTCCTTGTCGTCCTCCCCCTGCTTCTTTGTCGTCTTCCTTTTCCTCCCCCTCCCCCGCCTTTTCCTCTTCCTCCTTCCCCTTCTAATCCTGCTCCTCCTCCTTCCCCTCCTCTTTCCCCTCCTCCTTCCCCTCCTCCTCCTCCTCCTCCTCCTCTTCCTCCTTCCCCTCCTCCTCCTCCTCTTCCTCCTTCCCCTCCTCCTCCTCCTCCTCCTCCTCGTCCTCCTCCTCCTCCTCCTCCTATGCCTCTTCCTCTTCCTCCTCCTCCTCTTCCTCCTCCTCCCCCCCCCTTCTCCTCCTCCTCTGAGACCGGCCCTCCTGGAGAGGCAGGGAGTGGGGAGAGGCAGGACGCGTCCCGGGCTGCCCACGCCGCCGGCACGGACTGCGGACCCAGCGTGGCCCAAGGAAGGCAGGAGCTGGACCAGACGAGGCCCCCGCAGGAGACGCGAGCGGGACGGGGCACCCGAGGCACCGGTGGCTGAGAGGCCGCTTTGTCTTCTGCCACACCCCCCCGCCCCATACCCCGGCCACTATTGAGTCCACAGCGGGCCCAGCAAGGGAGGGGCACGGGTGCGGTTGGCACGGCCCGGGCAGCGGCGTCCGAGTGGGCACGTGACTGCTGCGATTGGGGGTGGCGGTGGGCGTGTAGGGTGGCAGTGGCTCTTGGAAGGTAGGGACCCCCTCGGGGCCGGGGGTGGGGGTCTTTCCTCGCGGGCGTGCACGGGGTTGCACAGGACTGGGCTGGATAGTGCTGGGCTCCACTGGGTTGGACGGGCTAATGCTGGGCCGGTTTGGAGGGACCAGGCTGAATTGGACAGGGCACAGCTGGGCCCGCCTGGCTGGCTCTTCTTGGCCGGGCTCGGCCCGGCCTGGCCTTCCATGCTGCGTGGCACGGGGTGGGCAGGAAAAAGCATTCAGGGGAAGCCGGGCAGGGCAGCAGAGTCCGGCCCGATGGGGGGCCGGTGTCCTGGGGCAAGGTGTGGAGAGAATGGGAGGCGCAGTCGGGGGCCGAGGGAGGCCCCAAGGGTGGGGGCGTGGCTTGGAGGGGGCAGGGTGGCGGTGCGGGGCTGTGCTATAGGAGCGACTCCAGCAGCCTGTGGCCGCCGGACAGAGGTTGCGCGCCTGTGGTGAGAGATGTGGGCAGTGTGGGCCCCTGTGGGCATCGGGTGGAGGCGGGCCCCCCAGGAAGTGGGCGCGCAGAGAAGGGAAGCAGGTGGTTGGGCGAGCTCCTGAAGCGTCGGGCCATGCCTTGGTCCCTCCTTGTGCAGGCGAGGTCAGAGGGGCGTCCCGGGAATGTGCGTGTGCCAAGGCCGCGGGGCAGAGGAAGGAAGACGCGGGCGCGTGAAGCTGTATGTGAAGGCCGAGGGTGGGCGTGAAAGAGAGAGGGAGGGAGGGTGCGTGCGTGTGTGCGTGCAGGGTCCCTTGGAGTGATGGCGGAGGGCCAGACGCCCAGGCGGGAGGACATGGGCGAGAGGGGCGGTGTCGGGGGTCAGGCAAAAGGGAAGGCTGTCAGGAGTGGGATTCGAACCCACGCCTCCAGGGGAGACTGCGACCTGAACGCAGCGCCTTAGACCGCTCGGCCATCCTGACGGCAGGGCTGGGCGCGTGGACGCTGACCTGGCTGGGATCCCAAGGCCTGGGTGCAGCCGGCCTGCGGGTGAGTGGGTGCGCATCGGGGGCCTGGCCGGGGCTGGGACTAGGGTCAGGCTGAGGGTCAGGCCCAGGGCCAGGGCTAGAAGCCGCGCTCCTCGCTGGCGCTCGCTGCGCCAGGCCGCGGCTCCTGGCCTGCTCCCTCAGCAGCCCCGCCGCGTCCGTCCGTCCGCTCGGTCCGCCCTTCTGTCCTCTGTCCCGGGGCCAGAGCTCCCAGGAGCGCAAACGGTCCTGCCCGCCTGGTGCTCCCGGCTGGATGGCGGCGCGCTGAGATCCCGGCGGTGCGTGCCACGGTGGCTCCACAGTCGGTCCGACGGCTGCGTGGGCAGGCAGCGGGCGGGGGCGCCGGACGGGCTGGAGTTGGGCACGTCGGGTGGAGGGGGCCTGCGCTACGGGTGGGCGGCGGGGCGGCGGGGCGGCGGTTAGGGGTGGCGTGGAGCTGCGGCAGGAGCCCGCAGGCTTGCCGGGATGCGGAGTCAGGGGTCCAGGCTGGACGTGGGACAGGCGGCGGCGGCGGCCTGGGCGCAGAGCGGCGTCGTCCTCGTTAGTATAGTGGTGAGTATCCCCGCCTGTCACGCGGGAGACCGGGGTTCGATTCCCCGACGGGGAGGCCGCTCAACCTTTTGCCCGCCCGCGGCGATCGCTGCGCCAGGCCCAAGGGCCCCTTCCACTTGCCTGCCCGCCACCCCCGAGCCCCCGGCCCTCTCGCCTGCCTCCGCGGCTTGGCGGCCGGCCGCCTGCAAGGCCAGGGAGCAGGGTCTCCTGTGAGCACGCGCCGGCCCAGGCAGAGCAGGCAGAGCGCCCACGGAGCTCAGCGAGCGGAGCACCGCGGCTGCCCAGACAAGTATCCGGGCGGGCGGGCGGCGCGTCGGTCGGCGGGGGCCAGGACAGGACGGGCGCCGGCTGGGCGCCCCGGTGCGGGAGCGCCAGGCGTCGGGCAGGGCAGCGGCGGAGCCTGGCGTGGGTCGCTCGGGGCGCCGCGCCCGGGGCCTTCCGGGCGTGTGGCGTTGGTGGTATAGTGGTGAGCATAGCTGCCTTCCAAGCAGTTGACCCGGGTTCGATTCCCGGCCAACGCAGCAGCAGGGCCTCCTTTTGCCTGGGGCTGGGGCTGGGGCTGGGGCTGGGGCTGGCAAGCCGCGTGTGCTGGTATGTGGGAGCTCGGGCCTAGGGCCAGTAGATGCCCGGCCGAAGGCGGAGCCCGACCTTTTGAGGGCAGGGCGAGCCAGCTCAGGGACAGCGGCCGCCAGGGCGCGAGGCTTGCCAGGCGCGGCGGGAGGGAGGCGGGTTCCACGTCGCCTTTGCAAGGCAGGCCGGGCGGGGCCCAGGCGCCAGGGCCCCAATTGCACAGGAGGCGCTGGCTGCAGGCGCACGGGGCGCACGCCGGGACGAGCGACCGACGCTCCCTGGTGGTCTAGTGGTTAGGATTCGGCGCTCTCACCGCCGCGGCCCGGGTTCGATTCCCGGTCAGGGAAGCCCTTCTTTTGGTTCTCCCACTTCTGCCCTCACCACTCTTCTTCCCAACTAGACTCCCTTTCCTTCCCCTTGCCTTTCCCCTTGCCCTTCCCCTTCCCCTTCCCCTTCCCCTCCCTCTTCCCCTTCCCCTTCCCTTCCCTGGGCCTGCCGCTGCCCCTGCCCCTACCCCTGCCCCTGCCCCTGCCCCTTCCCCTTCGCCACCCCTTCCAGTTCGCCTCCTCCCTCTCCTCCTCCTCCTCCTCCTCCCCCTCCAGTCCCCCTGCCCTCCCCGTGGTTTTGGCAGGACACCCCAGCCTCCTGGCCTGCCACCTCTTCTTGCACGCCCCCTGCTTACCCGCGCGCCGCACACGGTGCCAACGCACATCTCCAGCCGCCCAACACGCCTGCGCCCTGGCGCGCCTCCTGTGCCACAGGCCTGCCCGGGGACTCGCTCAGGGAACACCTGCACCTGGCCACCTGCTCCCAGTGCCGCAAGCAACAAGCCCTGTCCATCTCAGCGGCTTGGCTTCCGCTGTCAGCCCCTGACACACAGCCTTCTCTCGCCTCTCCCCATGCCTCAGCCCCCCACCCACCCACCCACCCCATGCACCCGGGACACCTGCTGCTGACCCGACCCGACCCGACCTGCTCCGACCCTTGACCCTTCGGCATGGAACAACGCTCTTGGTGCACTCTTGTCCTACAGTCATACTCTTGCAGGGTTGACATCTGGAGCATTCATTCTATGACCTTACCCATCCTTTGGAATACACTGGAGACTGTTTCCTGGGTATCTCCCGGTTCAGAGGACAAAGTCGCCTCATTTGTCTTCTCCGCCGGTTTCTCATTTTCCTTCACTTATTGCTTCCTTTCTCTTCGGAATTCATCTCTGGGCCCGTTCTCAAGAAGACAGGGGAACTCTTTCTCTCCACCCGTAGGTAAAGCATAACCAAAGATGAACGCGCTTTCCCTGGCTTGTGTCTGCCTGACATGTTCTGCTGCTGCGATCAGGAGCTTAAGCCACCCTCTTGGAGAGGGATTGTTGAGGTCGCGGAGCCCTGAGACCCCGGGGAGGAAAACGCGTCTTCAATCAGAGGCACCAGCACTTCCCAAGGAAAGCTTTAGAGGACACTCAAGAATGGCGTGGTGCAGGCCCTCACAGAAGCCAGGGCCGCTGTCCCCTGCAACTGGAAATCCTTGTGTGTTTTTGGTGGTGGGAATCTTGGCATTGGATCACCCGTTCTCTTCCACTGAGTCTAGTGGGTGGGCAAGTGGCAAGTGGAAAGGGAATGGTGCAGACCACGCTTAGTGCCATGTGGTGCGAGACAAGAAGGAGAAACAGAACACAAAGCCAGTCCCGTCCCCCCCCCCCCCGCCCGCCAAATGAAAATCCAACACGAACACGCCAAAGGGAAGCTGGGCTTTCTGCCTGGAATCGCTTTCTTGTACCTTCCTGTGCCTGGGGCTTGGGTTGCTGGAGTCTCCTTGTACAGGTGCTTTCTAGGTTCTTTCTCTCCTGTACAAGGAATTGGTGGAGCAAAGTGCAACACGGAGCCAGGCTCATCGTGCACCAAAGCTATGAAAGCAGTCCTTCGTGCTCAGGCTCTCTCAGTGCTCGGCTCTCCCCCTACACAGCATCCTTCTTCCTCGACTTTCCTTTGGCCCATACCTGCTCTCCACAGCATGCTTCCATTCTACCTCGCCTCAAAACAAAACTCGTTTTGGAAGGGAAGTGAAACAGGCTCTGTAGAGTGCAGGTGGCCAGGTAAGGATAAGGGGAACAAAACGAACCCAAGAAAACAAGAAAAAAGCAAACGAACAAAGATGCTGCAGAGCACAGGCTGGGCCACTGGCAGAGTTAACAGTACAAATCCGGCTTGGCTGTGCCTGGCTTTTGGATCTCACACTCCTCAGGATGAAGTGAGGTCTAGGCCAACTT